GAGAGAGAGAGAGAGAGAGAGAGAGAGAGAGAGAGAGAGAGAGAGGTAACACTGGCATTTGTTCTGATCCAGAATATGAAACAGGGTTACAACTCTCCCTACACAGAAACCGATGGAAAATTTTGACTATTTCATGCTTGTAAGAACTCCGTCTCCTGTCTTTCATTTTATGGAGCCCTTGGAGCTCCTGTTAGTGTCTGCATTTGGTAAAAATGTGTTCAAATCAACCAAAAGAGGGCACTGTTCTAAAACACCCTACCAGTAATAGTTATTTCAACTTTGGGAAGCTGCCGGCTGTAGTAACACAGTAAAATAACCACTGCTTCTCCAAGCCAAACACGTTCAACAGTCCCAGACACACATTACCTTTCACATAAAGCAAAAGAGGGAACTGTTGCTGCAGCTAGAGGACAGCTTTTTATTTTGATCTCAGCAAACTCATTCACTCATGCAGAGTGAGGTTCATGTCAGAGGCACAAGGCAGAGTGCAGCGAGGTACCCTGTGTGGGCGTCCCGAGAGTCAGTCACTGTGTGTGAAGGGCTGGGTGGAGGGGATGACAGGTGGTCAGGCCAGTTCGTCAAAAGGACTCTAAAGTCGGACTCGTCGTTTCTAAGCTCTAATACAACCTAACATTTGAAATTGAACAACAACTTATTGTTTGGGGACAATGTCTGTTGTTAAACCCTGGCATTTCAGTTAAAAAACCAATTACAGTCATAACTGAATGCCAGGTTCAAGGTTGAATGGAGGCTTAAAACAAAGTGACTTAAATCCATCTAACGTCTGCTTTAGTTTTCATACTTGAGTACCGGTCCTTTTTTGATAAGTATCATTGGACTTTAGGTGTTTGTCCAAGAAGACACCCCATGAGCAATTCCTTCTATCCATCCCAGACATCCAAACGAAGTGTTGTGTCTGTGGATAGAGAGACAGTTTATGGTCCAATCTGTCACTGTGGTTCAACAATACATTAAGCTTTAATGATAGCTTTCTCCAAACATAGCAAGAACATAGTGACGAAACCTTGGATGAGGAGGAGGCAGGGATGTATACTGTTTTTCCTTTAGGCCTTTATTGGCTGGGAAAAGCCCTTTAACATTATGCAGTATTGGGTGAACAGGTATATCAGATAAGTATACACATTAGACATTTACTTATAATCAATCATCAAGAATTTATTTTAGGAGTTAATGAGATTGCTCAGTCAGTGAAGGAGCTTGATGCCAAGCCTGCCTACCTGAGTTTGATCCCAGGACCCACATGGTGGAAGCAAAGAACTGACTCCTGCAAGTTGTTCTCTGACCTCCACGTATGTTGTGGCACAAAATAAATAAATGTTTAAAAAATTCCCGGGGCTGGAAAGATGACTCTGTGGTAACGGGTGTGTACTGCTCTTGCAGAGGATCTGGGTTTGCGTCCTAGCACCAAAGTGAAGTGGATCGCAGCCACTTGTAATTCCAGATCCAGGGATTCTGATACTTCTGGCTTCCTTGTGCACTTGCATGTATGCGCACATAACCACACACACACACACACACACACACACACACACACACACACACACACTCAAACAGGCAACACAGACACACAAACAGACACAGAGAGTTTAAAATAAAATGAAAGTTTGAAACATTTTAGTTGAAAGCAATTCTGTGGTATATGTATAATTTTATCATTTATATAAGACTAAAGAAAGTTTGCACACTAGTGAGATGGATATACTTGTTTACTTTGGGCAGAAAGTATTAAATCTTGGGGCTAGAGAGATGGCTCAGTGGTTAAGAACACTCTAGGCTCTCGCATAGGATCCAAGTTTGGTTCCCAGCATCCATATGGTGGCTCAGAATTCCCTTTAACTCCATCTTCAAGGAACCTGGTACCCTCTTCTGGCCTCTGTGGACACACACACATACACACAGATTTTAAAAAGTTGTGGTTTTTGTTTGTTTGTTTGTTTGGTTGGTTGGTTGGTTGGTTTTTGAGTAGCCCTGGAACTCACTCTGTAGACCAGGCTGGCCTCGAACTCAAAGAGATCCACCTGCCTCTGCCTCCTGAGTGCTGGGATTCAAGACGTGCACCACGACCACCTCACCGATAAGTATTTTTAAAAATAATTAAATACTGGCTGAATATTTGATACCAAATATTTGAATATTTGATGTAGATCACCTTCAATGTTTTTCAGAGTTAACTGATATTTTAACTTTATAGTTGTCACTGCTGAGAGTGTTGCTTCCCATAACTATACAGCACAAACGCTGAAAGGTGTTTAGTGCCATTTCAGAATCATTGGAAATTCTGCCCTAATCACAAGCCAAAATTCATTTCATAGTGTGAATGTGCAGGTGTGTGTGTACAGAGGCTAGAAGTCATTGTTGAGGGCCTTTCATTTTTCTTTATCTACTTATTATGTATGTTATTTACGTTTTTAAAATTGTATGTGCATTGGTGTTTTGCCTGCATGTTGTGGACTATTCCTTTACATGGTGTGGAGATAATTCACTGTGATTGGTTTAATAAAAAGCTAAATGGCCAATAGCTAGGCAGGATTTTCAAGACAGAGAGAATGCTGGGAAGAAGGGCAGAGTCTCAAGGAATTGCCAGCCAGATATGGAAGACACAGGAAAGCAACATGGGCAGAGTAAAGGTAATAAAGCCATATGGCAGAAAGTAAATTAATAGAAATGAATTATAAGAGCTAGTTAGAAACAAGCCTAAGCTATTGGCTGATCTTTCATAATTAATAAGAAGTCTCCACATAGATATTTGGGAGCTGGCAGGCAGGACAGAAAAATCTGCCTACACCTGCATGTATGTCTGTGTGAGGGTGTCAGATCTTGGAGTTATAGACAGTTGTGAGTAGCTATGTGGATGCTGGGATTTGAACCCAGGTGCTCTTAACTATTGAGCCATCTTCCAGCCCTCCCCTCCCCCAAGGTCTTTCTTAATCTACTTTCTACCTTATTTTTAGAGACAGGGTCTTTTCCTTGATCTAAACCTCAGCAATTCAACCAGAGAAGTTGGCTAGCAAGCACCACAGAGCTGTCTGTCTGTGCCCACTAAAGCTGGGGCTATGGGCATGTGCCACTGCACCTGGCTTCGGTGTGGGTAGTAGGGATGAAACCTGGGTCCTCCGGTGTGCATGGCAAACACTTTGTCAACTGGGCCGTCTCCTTAAATTTAATTTTTTTTTTTCATTTAGAGATGGGGGCTGTCACTCGTTCCCTATGTAGCTCTAGCCAACTTGGAACTTGCCACACAGGCCAGGCAGACCTCAAATTTGTAGTGATCCTCCAGGCTGTGCCTCTTGAGTGCTAGGATCATAGGTACTTACAACCATGGTTGGTTCATTTACCTGTACTTCCCTGTGTCATTCGGGGAAACTCAGTTTACAGTCTCTTCTTCTCAGCTTCTCCTTGGGATTAGTGTGTTCACAAGCCTGTGGCTTGATTTTTTTTTTTTTCCTGGCCTAGAAGGCCAGAATGCCTTCTGTTCTTCTTCTCAGACCACCCATAGCATCCCATGTGCTCTAGCCCACATTCTCCTGAATGACACCTTGTGATCTTATCGGCCTACACCAACCTGTTCTGTTGGATTACAACTGAGGATATGTCCACGGCTCATATCCTCCATTTTACTGTTAAATGCCTAGTGTACAGAGGCAGCTTTGTACATTTCTGTATGAGCAGGTATATATGCTGACTCACTGAGAAACTTAAATCTTTGGTTTTTCAACCTGGACTTGATTACATTTCCAAATCTTTATTTTCCACTCCTTTTGGAGAATGATTCAGAGTTCATCTTTAAATAGCAGCAAGGCTAAGAATGCTGGCCAGGATTCCTCCAGTTAAAGCAAAGGGGTTGGCTACCTAGGGAATGCTGGTTATGCCTTAGGGACAGTGAGAAGCAGGCCAAAGTCTCACCCCATCTCCTAGCCTTCATTTGAGTCTTTCTTCCAATGTCCTGTGTTCCCCAGGTAGGCACGAGATCTACCTAAATGGTTCCTGGGCTCTGGACTTTGTGTCTGAAATCCTCTCTCTCAACACCATCTCATCCTTTCAAATGCTTATTTTAAGGGATTCTTTGCTTCAACATACCTTGAGTGAACCATTCAGAAACTTTGACTTTTTTTTTAATCTGAGAAAGGTGGATTTGGACCAAGTAATTTTTAAATTCTTTCCAGCTTTAAAATATTACAATCCAAGAAGTATGTGAGTGAAAGAATGCCCTCCAGAAATCATTCTAGTTTTGTTTTCTCTTTTGATCTTTAATTAAAGAATGAGATTATCAGTTGCTTGAGTGCAAATACCAGTGTGAGCCCTACATTCTAGGCCGTGTGAGCCTCAAACAAGTCCTCAGAACTAGAGTAGCACTCTGGGGACAGATCCCACAACTTTGCTTTCTCTGATCAAAAACAGAGACAATAACTAAATGTTTAGATCCTCAGCTTCAGACAACATGAAAGTACATTGCTACACAAAATAAGAGCCTGGAGAAATATCAGTAAGTGTAGATTTAGCAGTGACAGAAAGAAAAACTATTTAGCTCAAGCATGCCTATAGAGCCCAGTGGATGTGTTAGGAGAACTCACAGTCCTTTACAGCAAATGTTTTAGCACACTCCCACTCTGAGATGGACTGATCTTCAGCAAGGACCCAATCACTTTCAATAATAATCCAAGGTCTGAGCCACTTTCTAGTAAGACAAATCCAGTACTTTTTCTTGTTGGTGTTTGGCCAAGAAGATGTGACCTGAATATATAGTATTGAAGTCATGGTATTATAGTATTGATTGTAATCTTTCTGCTGGATAATTCCAGCCAGCTGAGGTAGCTCCTCATCCTGCACAGCACTGCTGTTAAGAAAGTGTTTTAATAAAACTGGCAACAGTTAAAAATGAGATTATACAAAGTGGGTTTCAGAACATTGTATTGTAATGAACCTGAACTCCTATATGTGCTTGAAATACACTTTAAAAGACAAAGATGAACCAGGCAGTGGTGGTGCATGCCTTATTCCCAGCACTGGGGAGGCAGAGGCAGGTGGATGTCTGTGAGTTCAAGGCTAGCCTGGCCTACAAAGCGAGTTCCAGGAAAGGCGCAAAGCTACACAGAGAAACCCTGTCTCGAAAACAAACAAACAAAAGACAAAGATGATGTTACTCGAGTTTTGTCCTTCTGCCCTGATATTAGCAAATGCTAAATTAGGATATTAGCAAAATGCTGCTTTAAGAATTAGCAGAGCTATGGTGTGCACTCAAGATGAGATAGATTAAAGGGGGTGGTGGGAATAAAAAAAGAAGAAGAAGAAGAATCAGCAGAGCAGAGCTGGAGAGATGGCTCAGCAGTTAAGAACACGAGGGCTGCTCTTGCAGAGGACCTGGAGTTCAGTCCCCAGCATTTATATTAAGTGGCTCATAACCACAGTAACTCCAATGCTGGGGGATCTGACTCTCTCTTCTGGCCTCCAAAGGTACTTGTACATATATGTACACATACATATATTCACATATACATATGCACACATACAAATAAACATTTTTTAATGAAATATAGGAAAATAAGCAGAGCTGTAAGATCTTAATTTCTTACTCTACAGACTCGGATGAAAGAGCAAAGAGTAGATCATTTATACCCTCTGTGTCTACTGAGGTTTTAATGTGCAACAGCTCCGTTTGTGGTGACTTAATTTGTGATTTGAAATCTTGATAACAATCATGGTTTCCTGTAGGGAGGGAACTGAGAGTTTGGACGCCAGGAGGCCAAGGAGAGTTATCCCTATACATCTTTCTATAGTTCTGATAGTTAAACCATGTAAGGTATAGGATAAATAAAATATAGTCAGCATATGAGAAGCTAGGTTCCATTTTCTCTTGAAAAGGTACAAAATCTGATATCAGAGAGTGCTGGTGCCGAGTGGCAGCTGACATGAAATGTGGTGGGCAGTACCAATATCATCTGGTAGTTCTTGAGGGTGTTGCAGCCATACATCTTCAGTCCAGTTGGTGTCCGGAGACAGTAGACACTCAGGGGAAAGCCACATCTCAGAGTTCCCAGCATTCTCAGGTCAGACACCTTTTTACCCAGAATAGACACATTCTCCTTTATTGGACATCATGTCCTGGGTCACAGCATTAAACATGTAGAAGGCTGGCTTGTCTTCTTTCTGCAGGGAGAAAAGAGGGGGCACTCACTGTCTGAAGGTTGTGTCAGGGACACCGGAGTCTGAGCACCTCCACCTCCTATGACATGTGTGCAAACCGGGGAGATAAAGCCGGTTTTCTTCTGGGACTTTGTCTCACTCTTTTCCTGAGGACATAACATGTCCCCACTTTGAGTGACAGGATGAAGATTGCAGGGCTCTAACCCTTCCTCTGCAGACCCGGATACGGAAGCCGAGCGCTGCCAGTGCGTATTCTGTGCTTACCGAGGAAACGGTGCGTGCCTCACTGTTGTTTAATGTGGAGAGACTGGGCTCGGAATCTCTGTCCCTTTTCTGAGATTCACTCTGGAGGTTGGTTCCAAACAAGAGCATGAGGGACAGTGTCCTCACTGTTGTGTGCTCTTCCTTGTCTGTGTGGTTTGCCTTTTTATAAAACACACTTGTATTTACTTTTGCTGTTTAAATAGGGCAATAATAAATGTAGTGGGTTTTTTTTTTTAAAGTTTCCTTTGTTCCTTTTATTTTAGAGTCCACATAGGAAAGAAAACAAGTAGAACTGAGACATCCCAAGTGCAGATGGAAAGTTTGGGGGAATGTTAATCCTGGCAGCAGCAGTTGAACCAAGCAAGCCCAGGAGGGGAAAGGGGAAGAGGAATACCTTTCTTCCAGTCTAGAGAAGTGAAACTGGCCTTACTTCCTCTTCGGTGGTTGTGGGACGGTAACAGTTTTCTTCAGTGTCCTGCTCCTGGCTGGGTACGTGCAAGTGCATGGCACTGCCCCAGAATGTCCCCATCATGGAGGCTTTCTTAGAAGTGAAGGCCCAGCTTCCAGGTTGTTCATGCACCCTTCAGCCAATCCAGCCACTTACCACATCTTGCCTGTAGTCATAGGACTTGAGAGATTGGGAGGTAGAGGCAGGAAGATCGGGAGTTCAAGACCAGCCTCATTCACATAGAAAGTTTCTATATAACTGTCTGAAAGGACAAAAACCCAAACCCAAACTAACTTCTACTCTGGTTCCTCCTATGTTTATAAAGAAAAATCTCTCTAGTCTCCCACACATATAGGTAACTCCAGAGCAAATCACAAGGGGGAGTTAAAAAATAGCTGCCAGCTTTAAAAAATGCTATCTCTGAAACTAGGTTCTTAGGTCTCCCAAAACACCTTCAAGTCTGTTCTTTTTTTTTTAAGCACTAGAATTTTGTATCAATCAACACAGATGATATCCTGAGTTCAAGTCTTTTGTAATGTAGGGGAAAATAGTTTCATTGTGCTATTGTAACCACATGTACACCATTTTATAATCTTTGTTTTCAAATGCAATGACATTTGAATTGTAGTTTGAATTGTAATGAGGTGCATAGTGGAAGACAGTTCTGTCTCTGATTGTAAGGGAAAAGGAGCATATAGATAGATACCTAATGGAGATGCAGAGGTCCTGTGCTCACAGACCAACACTAGGAGAACCAGGAATATTAAACACACAGAGTTGTCCCTTCAGAGAGAGGAACGAACCTGTTATCCACCCAGAAGGCTGTGAGCCCATGTGGTTGATAGCTTGGTGACCTTTGTGTTATCTGTGTGGCGGAGACCACACTGAATCCTCCCCAGACCATTATCTCAGGCATATCAATCTATAGAACCTATCTTTATGGAAGGTGTCATCTGTAGTCAATCTAGAGAACCCGTCTTTATGGAAGATATCCCATGTATTTTACCATGTAGTTATGTCTTCAGTTTTTTGTGCTCATGAAATTGAGCTATTTTTTCACCAAAAAAATAAAAGAAAGAAAGAAAAAGAAAGTAAGAAAGAAAGAAAGAAGAAGAAATTTTTTTCACTAAATTGTGCTGTACTTAAATATACCTAAAATAAACTACTCAGGGTCACAGTCTCCAAGTTTGAACCAACACCTGCTACTTAGTGGTGCTCAACTGAACTACCCTCTTGTTTCCTGCAGCTGCAGAGACACTCCCCACCTCCACAGGTGCCAATTAATAGCAACTTGCTAATGAAATGATACAGAAGAAAGCATCATAAAACAAAGCATCCCTCTGTAAGATAAGGTATCTGTGGGCCAACAGGATGGCTTTGCTAATGAAATGATACAATAGAAAGCATCATAAAACAAAGAATCCCTCTGTAAGATAAGGTATCTGTGGGCCAACAGGATGGCTACATGGGTAAACACACTTACCACCCACTCTGATGACCTGAGTTCAATACCTGGGACCCACATGATGGGAGAAGAAAACCAAATCCCTCAACTTGTCTTCTGACCTCTTCATGAACACTATAGCATTCGTGTATGTGTGTCCCACATGTGTACACACAAAAATACACATAAGCAAGTTTTTTAAAGAGAGGGTGTCTGTAAGAGAAGGCATCTCCCTGCCTCCATACGTGATATTCCTCCCCAAACATTATGAATTAAGACAGGTCGTTCAGTTACACCCAAGTATGTCAGATGCTATTAGATAAACAACACCATAAACAAATCATGGCTGGACACATTTAAGATTAGATTTTTTCCCTTTAGAAACAAACAAAAACAATACAAACAAAAAAACACCCAAACCAATATACCATGGTGGAGGTCAAACTCAAAATGTCTTACTCTACAGTACAAACAAATATGTCTATTTCAAAATCATAATTCCTTTTTTGTCTTCAAAAAGTAGATGCAAATCCACTGGAAATAATATATGTATATTAGCAATGAGACGGAAAATGTTCTTATTAGAAACAGACAAACAATTTGAGGTTGATGTAAATCCAAATTCTGGCTCAAAAATTTGCAGACACCAAATAAGCAGAAATTTGTCCCACCTGTTCCATAGTGAACAAAAGGAGAAGTAATGTCTGGTTTTATTAAATGGTGTGAATTCCACTTGAGAAATCAAATGAACTTCCTTTTTTTTTTTTTTTTTAACAGCAGAGCTGTCCAGGAAAAGATGTACTTGAAAACTGGGTTAACCAAATTATTTCTGTAACTTTGTTATGGCTTCATGTCTATGATACAAAAAGGTACTCTACAGGTTACCAAAAGAGGAAAGTAAACAAAACTAGAAAACCCTGGACCTACAATCTGCCCAGCCTGCAAAATATACTAGGTCATGGTGGCACAGACCTTGTGGGAGTAACCAACCCATGTCTGATTTGACTTAAGGCCCACTCCATGAGATGGAACCTGACACTGCTTGGGTGACCAAGAACCAGAATCTAGATATCTCAGAAATCTAAGGTTAACCAAATACTTCTGTTCTAAAAAGAAAAGAAAAAAAAAAAGGCAACAATAAAATGATTCCTAATGATATTCTGCAATACTCGTGAATCAGTGCCTTGCTCATCCATCATCAGAGAGGCTTCCTCCTGCAGCAGATGGGAACAAATACAGAGACCCACAGCCAGACATTATGCACGGGGTGGGGGGTGCTTTGAAACACACAGCTATAAGTGAGATGTCACCATCGAATCCCTCCCCTCAGAGCTCAGGGAACCCTGCAGATGGGGAGGCAGAGGAGTCAGGGAGACAGAAAGGATGGAGGCCACCAGCAGAACAAGGCCCTCTAGAAAAACTGAGCAAAGCTCGTAAGAACTCAGAGACCGAGGCAGCATGCACATGGCCTACATGAATCTTCTCGTTAGACAGTGCTTGGAGATTGTAAGGAGTTGATTCCATGGAGCTGTGTGGTGCCTGGACATAATATAGAAGCCCATGTAAAGCCGCAAGGAGAAGCTATTAAGACATGACAAGGAAGAAGGATGTAGTGGCACACACTTGTAATCCTAACATCTTGAATCAAAAGTTTGAGGCCAGCTTGGGATACATAACAAGACACTCTCAGACAAAGAAAAGAAATATAATTTAGTTGGCTTTAAAAGGATTTTCTGAGTATTAGAGAAAAAAATTGGAGAAATCATAGTCATTTTAATTTTACTTTTTGGTAGTTAAACATTCTTCAGAAATTTAAGGAATACATGAATAATAAATGCTCAGAAAACATTAAAATTATATAAATGGAGTTATGCAGTACTTATTATTTTGTGACATGTCTTTAGTACTTAATATAGGAGAGCATCTTTTAAACCATCTTAGTTGTGTAAGTATATTTAGAGTTAATTCTGAGTATCAAACATTTTTGTTGCTAAATATAAGAAAATAAGTATCATATTTAAAGGGGATGAGAACTCATGCTTTCAGAAGTAAGAAGAGAGCGTAAAGGACTGTTTCTACCCCAGTATAAACAACGGCTCTTAATTGGGTCACTTGTCCCATTAAAAACTGATTTCAAGTTAGAGATATTGAGCTCAGGAAATCCCAAAGCACATAGTTTTGTATATTTTAGGGTTAGGGTTCTGTAAAGTTCTTAATGAACACTGACCCAAGGGTCCCTAGTTATGCACCGTAAATTAAGGGCCCCCTAAAAATGGTAAAGACATTTCTCCGGCACATATACTTAGTTCTGATGGCTACTTTGTCTGAACTTGGATATAGACACTCTCCTGGAATTTCTATTGTGATAAAACACAATGGCCAAAGTCGACTTGGGGAGGAAAGAGTTTGTTTCAGCTTATACTTCCATCACTGAAGGATGTATGGGCAGGCACTGAAGCAGGGCAGGAATCTGGAGACTGGTGCTGATGCAGAGGCCATGGAAGAATGCTGTTTACTAGCTTGCTCCCCATGGCTTTCTCCAGCCCAGGTGTGGTTCGGTTCCACCGCCTGTGGGATGGATCCTCCAATGTCAATCATCAGTCAAGAACATACCCCACAGGCTTGCCCACAGGACAGTCTGGTAGGGATGTTTTCTCAATTGAGGTTCCCTCTCTGGATAACTCTAACTTGTGTCAAGTTGACATAAAACTAGCCAGCACAGACACTGCCTAGTCATTCATCCTGTTTGTGAAAATTTCCTCTTTGTCATGCCACTGTCCCTCATCCTTATGACCAGGGAAGTGACCTCATCTGCTTTACTCTGTACAGATATCTCAGAGCCATCCCTTAGACTCTGATCCATGGGGAGTCCTGTATGATGTAATGGGACAGATGGCAAAGGATGAGGCAAGAAAGAGAGATGGAACAGACAGGGCAGGGGGAAATGCTGTGTCCGTATCTTACTACCCTTTACAGGCATGAAACATGCATGAGACCATGAGTACCAATGGAAGAGAACACAAGACAAGAAGGGCTGGGGAGTTGGTTCAGTGGTTAAGGGTGTGTACTACTCCTGCAGAGGACTTAGGTTTGGTTCTCAGAACTCATGCCTGGCAGCTCACAACTGTCTCTAACTCTGGCTCTGGGGCAATCCAATGGCTCCAGCCTTTTCTGGTACCTGCACTCATGTGAATGTACACACATACACATGATTGAAAATAAATCTTTGTGGGACTAGAAAGATGACTCAGGGGTTAATAGAAGGTACTGCTCTTACAGCTGGCCTGAGTTTGATTCCCAGAACCCATATCCAGTGGCTCACAGTCACCTGTAACTGTAGTACCAGGGTATCCAACATCCTTTTCCTGGCCTCCTCACTCACCAGCCATGCACTCATACAATAGAATAAAATAAATGAACCTAAATTCTAAAAAAATCTTTTTAAAAAAGGAAAGGAAAGGAAGCTCTATTTATTTTATTCTTTTTGGTAGGATCTTGTTATACAGCCTAAGCTGCCCTCAAACTGATGATGATCCTCTTACCTGGGCCTCAGAAGCTCTGGGGTTATAGGTATGCATCAACCACACCAGCCTGTGCAAAGCTTTTTCTAAGTTGTGTGGTTACTTAGTTGAGCTATCCACCACTTACCTCAAAATGAGAGAGGCATCTCAGGCAAATGTTATTCTGTCATACCTTACCGAAGCATTTGAGAGTTGAGCAGGAAGATATTCCGACATCCGACAGACTCCAACTGTTCCTGAGGGCAGCTCCAGCATACTTCAACTCTAGCTACAACCTGCCTTGTTGGTCTTCAGAAAGAGGACTGTGGAAATGATCCTTAAAGAGCAGTGACCTCTTATGAAAACAGTCTCCGTATTAGCAGACCAGAAATACAGTGCTCCCCTCACCACTGCCTTTCTTCTTTCCCTCCTTCTCTCCCTTCCTCCCTCTCTCCCTTCTCCTTTCTTCCTCCCTCCTTCCCTCCCTTCCCAATGGTGTTATAATTGTTTTAGAACAAAGAGAAGGAAGATTAGGTAGGTTCTTAACTTGGACCCTATTGCTCCCCAAAAGTTTATAAATAGATTTTAGTTGGGGGAAAAAAACTACACCTTCATTTTAAACTTTCTATTATTTTTATTTTATGTGTGTGAGTGCTTTGCTTATGTATATCTGTGTCCCACATGTGTGCCTGGAACCTGGAAATGCTAGAAGAGGGCATTGGAGCCCTTGGCAATGGAATTACAGATGGTAGTGAGCTGCCATGTGAGTACTGGGAACTGAACCTAGGTCCTCTGAAAGAATAGCCATTGCTCATAACCACTGAACCATCTCTCCAGTTGCTACAGCTTTATTTTTTCTAACTCTAAGTGAAATTGAGATTTTTCTGCTTTTTAATTATATTAAATCATCTGTACCTATGGCTTTGTCACCATTTAAAAATCACATCCATTTCCATATCACATTACTGCTGCTACAGATATTTCAGAATCTTATGTATGCTTATCACTTATTTGAAAGTATACTAGTTAAGTGCACTTCTAGGACCTGTTAGTTAATGTTAATAAAATCCCATGTCACTGTGTCACCAATGTGATTTTTATTATTTGAAGGTTATATTTAAATTCAATTCACATCTTTCTTGTTTTCGTGGAGAGAGTCTCTTACTCCATAGCCTAGGCTGGCCCAGTCTCTTATCTCTCCTGCCCTAGCAGCCAGAGCACTGGGATTATAAGCATGCATCACCATGCCTTCTGTGGTTCTCTTCATATTTTATGCATTTAACAACATTCTGAGAGGGAGTTCATCTGCTTTATCAGACTTCAAACAGATCCATGACACATAATGTGTATTATCTCCTGTGCTAGATCTAGACTGCAATAATCTACCCAATACTAACAATCCTCAGGAACTGCTCAATATGGCTGGGTGTGGTGGCATACGTCTTTAATCCCAGTTCTTGGGAGGCAGGGGCAGTTACTCTGAGTTTGAGGCCAGCCTGGTCTACAGTCAGAACTACAGAGTGAGACCTCATCTCAGAAAGAAAAAAAGAAAAAAAAAAAAGAAATTACTACTAATACTACTACTAATGATAAATGAAAATGACCACCTTTAAATAAAATATTTCATGACTGTCTCTTATTCTGGCAGTGTGGTCTTAGGTAAGATGCCCTCCCTAAGCCTCAATTTTCTCTGAATACAAAATAAAATTGAAGCCCACAAGTTTAAAATTGAAGCCACAAGTTCACTACTGTCTTCTCTGTCTCCTAAGTCCTTGGATTTGTCATATCTGCTTGCTCACCAAGCAAGGCATTAGTCAGACAACTGGCACTCTCTTCGCATGCACTGAAGTTAGTGTTGTGTTTTCTCCTTTTGTGAATAATTGCAGTAAGCTCTTTGGTACAGGCACAACCCATGAACTCACTAAAGAGAACTGAAACTTGACAATTCCCCCCTGCAGAATTTTTTGGCTTAGTTTGTTTTCTTATCTAAGATCTCCAAATATACCATATTCTTATCAATATAGCACTCAAATAGTGATATTTTCCAAAGCCTCTTTGTTTTTTGTGTTAAAATTGTACCCAATAGTGTCTCTATCCTATGCACATTTTAGACTGTAAGGCATAATTAAACTCAAATACATCGTAGTGACCCTTGACTAAATACATGCCTTTACCATCTGATGGCTTCCAGAGTCATGTGCTGAAACATCAAATGCCTCAAAAGATCCTTCAAAAGCCACAAAAATCCTCACCATGCAATTTCCTTCTCAGAAACAAGACAAACAAAACCAAACAAAAAATCCTCTTTTCAGAGATAGCTGGAAAAATTTCCAATTCCCAATTAAAGTCAAAAACCGATGGCCAGCGGCAGCTGTCACTGTCTACTCTCCATGGTGATTGGAAGCACGTAGAGGGACACAGCCACAGTCTCCCAGCATGGGACAACATGGATTGTGGCTCTGTTGGAGGAAATGTTTCTCTCATTTGACTGAAGACAGTCACACCAGCCATCTTGTTCTCAGATTACAGAAACCAGGACACCAGACAACGGTTGAGGCAAACGAGAGCAAGCTTCTGACTTGTAATGCAAAGATCCTACATGTAAGTCACACTTCTGCGAAGTAATTGTCATCCCCTGAGTCTGAAATTTGTATTTACTTGAGGACAGCTGATCAAAGAACCCCTAAGAACACAGCCTTCATTAGGGTGCACTGGCATATGGCGAGGCAAAAGGAATTGATTTTGCTGAATAAGATAGTCCTGAAAGTTCTCTGTGAATATCTGTGTGGAAGCACTCAGTTTCCCTAACAACTTTGTGTACTTGTTCTCTGGCAGTGTGTCTAATTCTGCCATGGGGTACAGAACAATACCCACACACACCAAGAAAACGAACGTGGCTTTCCCTTCCCATCCTAGCATAATAAAATCTGCTGCATAGCAACACAGTATAATTGATATCTCTTTTAGTCTTTGTGTTACTCAGGACAATCTGCCATTGTGATCTCTTTCTACCCCACTTGACGCCAGCGGATTTCTTCTTTCTTTTTTTCTTTTTTTCTTTCTTTCTTTCTTTCTTTCTTTCTTTCTTTCTTTCTTTCTTTCTTTCTTTCTTTCTTTCTTTCTTTCTTTCTTTCTTTCTTCCTTCCTTCCTTCCTTCCTTCCTTCCTTCCTTTCTTTCTTCCTTCCTTCCTTTCTTTCTTCCTTCCTTCCTTTCTTTCTTCCAAATAGATTCTTTTCTCATATAATACATCCCGACCATACTTTCTCCCCTCTCTACTCCTTCCAACTCCCCGCTGAATGATAAAAAGGAAAGGATATGACTGCTCCTAGGTATGATGGAGAAGAAAGTTTATTGTAGATAAAAGGGAGAGCATAGGCCGGGCAGTGGTGGCACACGCCTTTAATCCCAGCACTGGCAGAGGCAGGCAGATCTCTGAGTTTGAGGCCAGCCTGGTCTACAAAACAAAACAAAACAACAACAACAAAAAATAAATAAAATAAAGAAAAACATGTAATTGGGGAGGATCACGTACAGGTCAGAGGTTTAGTCCATTATTGTCATGACAGGAAGCAAGGCAGCATGCAGGCAGACATGGCACTAAAGAAGGAGCTGAAGAGTCCTTACATCTTGACTCATAGGCAACAGAAAGTGGTCTGTCTCATTGTGTGTGGCATGAGCATAGATGAGGCCTCAAAGCCCACCTCCACTGTGACACATTTCCTCCAACAAGGCCACACCTCCTCCAACACAGCCACACTCCATAACAGTGCCTCTCACTTTGAGGACCATTTTCTTTCAAACCACCAAATAGTCCCACAAAAACACCAAGCTATTAGTGTAACACATACACAGAGGACCTGGTGCAGACCTGTGTGGGCTCTGTGCTTGCCACTTCAGTCTCTGTGAGCCCCTAGGAGCCCTGCTTAGTTGACTCAGTGGGCCATGTTCTCCTGGTCCTCCATCCTGACTCCTCCAGTCTTTCCTCCTCCTCTTCTGCAGTTTCCTGATCTCTGAGGGGAAGGACCCAATGGAAACCTCCAATTTAGACTCTCTCTCTCTCTCTGCATAATGTCTGCTGTGGGTCTCTGCACCAGCTCCCATCTGCTTCGGAGGAAGCCTCTCTGATAACAACGGGACAGGGCCCTCTTCTATGAGTATAGTAGAATATCATTAGAAATCATTTCTTTCTTTCTTTCTTTCTTTCTTTCTTTCTTTCTTTCTTTCTTTCTTTCTTTCTTTCTTTCTCTCTCTCTCTCTCTCTCTCTCTCTCTCTCTCTCTCTCTCTTTCTTTCTTTCTTTCTTTCTTTCTTTTTTGCCAGTTATGTTTGATTCTACCCTAGGGCTCAAGGCAAACCAATCTGGTGCCCTCAGAGTCCAGAAGAGGGCATAAAATACCCTGAGATTGGAGTTACAGACAGCTGTGAGCTGCCATGTGGATGCTGGAAGTTGAACTCAGGTCCTCTGGAAGAGCAACCAGTGCTTTTAAGTGCTGAGCCATCTCTCCAGCACCTTTATCCTGTGTTTTGAGAATTAAATTTTGAAAGGAATGTAACTTCTTGTCAGTATTCTTTGTGTATTCATATTATTCTTTCATGGTTTAGTTTTATTTATTTGCTTTTTTTAAAGTAACATGTTGGCCGGTATAAATAATCATATCTCCGGCGGTGGTGGCGCACACCTTTAATCCCAGCACTCGGGAGGAAGAGGCAGGTGGATCTCTGTAAGTTCGAGGCCAGCCTGGTCTACAAAGTGAGTTCCAGAAAAGGAACTCAGAGAAAAGCTACACAGAGAAACCCTGTCTCGAAAAACCAAAAAAAAAAAAAAAATGTGTGTATATATGTATATATATATATATATATATATATATATATATATATATATATGAATCACAGGTCAAATATCTGTGAGTTTGAGGCCAGCCTGATCTACATAGTAAGTTCCATAACAGTCAGGGCTATTTAGAGAGAAGCTATCTCAAAAAAAGAAGAAGAAAATAACTTATTAATTGTTATTTTAAATGGAAAAACAACCATGCAGATTTGTGCAATTAACACCTAGATACATTGTTATAAATATAGTAAGCCTTTGCAAAAGGCCAGCAGAGAATAAGGGATTTTTTTTCTCAAAGAAGTAACTGAAAAACCAAAACATAATTCCTTGAATTTGCTGCTGGGCAAAGAGAAAAGCAGGTGAGGAGCTGGAATGGTGGTGAAGTTCACTCAGGGGATGGAGCATTTGTTGAGGAGTTAGTGAGTTCAGTTTTCAGCACCTACCTGGTGGCTCACACCCATCCATAGCTCCAGAGTCGGGGGATGTGACTGATACACAAGGTGTACTTACGTGAATACAGGCGAAATATTCATACACATATAATAAAAATAAATAAATAATAAGAGAAGTTTGGCCAACAGCCTAAGACTAAATTTTCAACGTCTACTTTAGACCTACTGATTCAGAATACTTAGTGTACCGATTTTCTCAAGTGTTGCTGCTTATAAAGTTTGAAAAATGATTGTGTACATAATGCTGTAGTTCAGCAGTACCAATAAGACTTTCCTTGACCACAGAGTCTTCTCACCTATTATTTTATTATAAATTTTCATTTTCACTGAAGGTACTGTGGTTTCTGAAGCTAACTTTAATGAGGCAAATTCTTTTTTTTTATCTAATTAAATAAAAAATTTTTATTTGAAATTTTTCTAAATTGAAGGAGAGCTGTGGTCATGCAAGACTAATAAATTTCACATGTTGGAGTCAGATTGATGGGTTTGAATAATGTGTATAATTAGAGAGGGCAGTCATGCATCGATAAAATGTGATCACATCAAAACTCAAGAAATTGCATTATTTGCCCCACATTACACAGGCGTTATTTGGCTCAGACTCAAAGCCCTCTTTCTCATATCACAATGGCTCTCATGAATCATTTGGATTCAGAGCTCAGGCTGGAATTTAGAACCCAATTCCAAGCTGAATATGGTGGCGAATGCCTTTAATCCAGGCACTCAGGAGGCAGAGGCAGGCCTGGTCTACAGAGCGAGTTCCAGGACAGCCAGGGCTGTTTCCCAGAGAATTCTTGTCTCAAAAAGTAAACAAGAAGAAAAAGAAGAACCAAAAACAAACAAACAAACAAAAAAACAACAACAAAAAAAACCTCCATAGCCCAGGATATTTGGATATTTGCTCCATTTTTCATGAGCTGTGTGAGTAACTTCTTTGAACCATAGCATCCTTACCGGAAAAAGTAAACCGCAATGGAATTGAGGCTGTTATCGGACGAGTGCAGAACTTAGAACAATGTTGCCATCAAAGCTACTTTGGTTACTGAAGAGAACTGAAGCACTGGAAAATATGGAAAGATTTCAAGGGCACTGGTCTCCTACAGTTAGAGATAGAAAAGAACAGCTTTGAAAATAAAAATGGGAAACGCTTAAGATAAACTTTGCCCAGCTACTATTCTTTACTGAACACAAATAGAGAAGATGAATAAAAAGCAGTCTCATTGTGGATCAGCAGTGAGAGAGGCGAGACAAAGTCAACTAGAAAAGGTTAGAAAGAGTAGTCAGCTCTCACAATGACCAGTCAGTGGACGCGGATTTCCTGTTCTTTGGTTATGGCCTCACCTGTCAAACATACCCTGTAGCTTTAACTTGTCCATCTAAACACATGATAAATGTAACTCAATCATCCCCTCATGCCTTTGTTTTAGAAATATATAAATCAGAGGCAGATATATCTAAAAAATTGCCAAGGTTGGTAGGACTTCACTATGGGGGCTGGACAGGTGGCTCAGTGGTTAAGAGCACTGGGTGCTCTTGCAGAAGACCCAAGTTTGGTTTCCAGCACCCACATGTTTGATTCCCAGCTCACACTCTCTGTAACCCAGTTCAGGGGGTCTGACACACTCTTCTGTCCTCCATGAGCACCAGGCATGCACGTGATGTACATGGACACATGTAGACAAAACACTCATATACATACAATAAAAATAAGTAAATAGAGCTTTAAAAAAACAAGACTTTACTATAATCAGGATGGAAGCTGGGAGAATGTCCAGGCCATGAAGCTAATTACCAGATGCAGATTCTTTCAAGGAAGTAAAATTGTACATTTGATAGTTGAGATATGTTCATGTTTAATGCAGGAAATCACAGGCTGTGGACAGAAGAGAAATCTACAAGTAGGGAAACAAGCAGTGTTGAAGAAAATAGCAGTTATAAAATACAGCTCATTGTCAACCAAAATAAAACAAACAATAGGCTAACTGGAGTACAAAGCATCATAGCATTGTTGGAATGTTTTATAGCTATAAAGAATTGGTAAATTAAATTGATTTTTACCACTGTCCTGTTTAGTAAAATTAAGCATCATCAGGCTTAGTGGCCTCTCCCCTTCTGTTCTCATGTTCTATTATCTTAATCATCTCCCAAATTGTGGAGAAAACTCTCACATGTTCACCAGATCCTTAAAGATTAGGATATTTTCTGTGCTCTCATCATTTTATTTAGTACTATG